TTAGCGATTGTGAAAGGCTACACTCACACAGCAGGTAAAAGTGGCCCAAATCTGATTTTCTCACCAAATCAGATTTTTTCATTTGGCTGTTCAAATTATCTAAATGTGACCTACATGTGACATCAGTCTGAACAGATCAGCTCCTAAACTGACCCACAAAAGAAGAACACTTCACGCGACTCATCCAGAGGTAAACAATCATGACTGCCAACAAACGCCTGTCACTCCCGGAGGGTTCAGCTTCATCTTCACCAGCATCACAGGAACCATCATGAAGCATCACTGACTGACAGCTGGGCTCATCACCCAGAATGTGTTTTAGCTCACCGTAAAAAGGGCGCGGTCACTTCTTTGGCTCGCGTCCTCGGATTCTTTAAACTTTGCTTTCAAGCCTTTAGCTGTTCTTTGACGCTGCAGCCTCGTTCTCCTGCGGCGCGTTCAGCCATTTCTTTCTAAATCTCTTCGAACATGGAGGGCTTTTGATGAGTCTCTTCTCATTTTTGTACAGAAACATCAGCCTAAATGTTTATGAGTCTCAGCAGAGCGAAATGATGACGAATGTCAAGTTGGATTGACGTAAAAGTCGCATGAATTCCGATCTGGCTGTTCAGTCTGAGTCACATTGCCGCATATTGGATATGTATCGAAATTCAGTACCACATAGGAAAGCGTCTCTAATCAGAACTGAAAATGTCAGATTCAGTGTGTTTATCTGTTCACACTGACACACAGACAACACATCTGTGTCTCATATGAAGAAAAAGATCGGGTTTGGGCCACTTTTACCTGCTGTGTGAACAAAGCCAAAAAGTTCACTTTGCTGGAACACAGTCGATTCGTCATCTCGGTGGTCTGCAAATAGCAGAGATGACCGTGATTGGTCAGAGAGTTCATGTTGCTGGTGAAAGTTTGCAAAAATCAAACAGGCATTTTTGCCTGTCTGCAAAACTGTGTTAGGTACGCAAGATGGCATCAGTTCAATGTTACAGTTACTGTGACCAAATGAATTTACTGTCATCTGAATAAATCACATGAATAAATCGCTCTGGGTGTGTAAAGGCCTTTACAGAGAGGGAATCTCCAGAAAAGACTACAGCTTTTTTAAATGGAAAGTGCTCAAACAGCTCTGTATGGCAGAGAGATGTGATCTTTCACGTAAAAATAAAATGGGGAAGTAGCAAAATCAGTAGGTTGTGATGAAGTCAAGGAAGTCAAAGGCACACAAAGTGTGACATACATAAAATAAGAGATAGAAACAAAACTTTTTTATTGATAAACTTATACAACGACAGCTTTTCGCAGGAAATAGCATAGTGTCTTTGCATTTTTAGCGCTAAAACTGAGTTTGATTGCAGCCAAAATTGCAAACTTTTCATCATTTTTCAACTTCATCATCTGCAATTTTCACAACTTTTGTTTTGGTGCTCTAAAAAAAGTCAGACAGTAACTACTGTAACATAATAACTACAGTCCAGCATCAATGTTGCCATAAGAAAAACCTACTTTTACCTTCTACAAGAAACATTTAGTGGGTAGTCTGTTTATACAAGCAGCACAATTAAGGACAATGTTGAATTTGATGAATTGCTGGATGGCATTCGCATTATCCTCTCACATATGGTGGCTTTTCTTTCCCCTACCATAATTTTCAGTTTCAGTTGTAACTCAACAGCCATGTAATTACTGTTAAGTGCCTTGTAATTACTTTTGGTATTTTGAGAAAGTGTTTGGTCTATTGTTTAGTGCAGTTTAATGTGATAATTGCAACAGACTGGTACACATGAACAAGAAGACTTGGAGTCAACCGGTCAAGCTGCACATGACCTGAAAGAGATATAAAATGGGATATTGGTAATTACAGGCTGATTCCTAACAAAAGGTGGTTTCCACAGAGCTTCTACCAAATTTCTGGGCTGTAAATACACAGTCTTCCAGATTTCAGCTATGTCATTCATTTGTAGATGAATGACACAGCTTTTCCCTGAAGAGCTATAACTCTGTGAGGCATATTGTGCTTGGCCCCCATTCATAAGACCTCGAATAGCAACCTTCTTATTTGGGCACGCTGGGGCTAATAACTGGAAAGGAAGTCCACTCACACTTTACCAGACATGGCCAGCGTGGGACGAGCGGTAAAAGCCAGCCGAACAAGAGACTTGTCTACAGTAGATAATGGCCAGCATTGTAGCTCGCTGACCCGCGGACGAACCGGCCGTCATGGTTATTGTTTCAGCACATACAGTCTCGCTGGGCAAGTGAGTCACTAGCCAAGTCCTCCACCTCAGAATACCCGTGGCTGCAATTAGTCAAACTGCGGTCATGACAGCCACCGAGGCCAGGAGGTCCGTTTCCACTGATCAAGCTGATTTTCATTATGCTTTTTTCTTTTTTCTTTTACAGTTAGTCATTTTTCAGAACAAACAGGCTGTGTTTCAGGCCTCATTCACCTTTATCGGCCAGACTGTTGTCAGTTTTTTCCCACACCGTGCTTCATTTTTCATTAAAAATGCTTTGCTTACTCACAGCTTGAAGCCTGTAATATCTGCAGGTTCCACTCTGAGTGCATTAAAAAGCTATTCATTTTCTTTAAACACAGTGTGAAGCAAAAAAATAAGAGTCCCTGCTCATTCCTGCCATTCTTAAATGGCCACGCCGAAATCTGGATAAGATGCGTCACAGAGCATACCACCTCATAGCCGGTCTTTGTCATATGAAGAAGGTGCTGCGTTTAAAAAAGGTAACAAGTTCATGTGCAGATTTTTCCTGGAAACCCTTTCAGTTCAAGAGTGGGCTGAGGAATTCAGAGGAGCAGGAGGTGTATCTTAAAAGCATGCTCCACTAAAAGTATTGTTATTTCAACGAAGCACTGACTCCAGTAAGAGTACATTTACATTTATGGCACTTTGGCTAAACCAGCTGACAGGTTAACCCCTTAAACAGCCAGGCTTATTACATACTAAGGCTTATTATTCAGTAACTACAGGGACTTCAATGCAGCCTGGCTGAGCTCTAGGTTATAGAATTGTGTACTAATAATGTTACAGAGGGAGTAACCTGATAAGTTCCAATTGAACTGCTGATTTCCCATAGTACTGCAGTGGAGCTTCTTAGTACATTCAGGATCTATCAGCATACAATGTAAACCCCAAACCCTGCTGTGTCTGATCCACTCGTACCAGCACAGCACACACTAACACACCACCACCAGGTCAGTGTCACTGCAGTTCAGAGAATGATCCACCACCCAAATAGAACCCGCTCTGTGGGGGTCCTGACCACTGAAGAACAGGGTAACAAAGTATGCAGAGAAACAGATGGACTACAGTCTGTAACTGTAGAACTACAAAGTGCTCCTATACGGTCAGTGGTATGGAAGTCCAGAGAGGCCATGAGGTAGTTATAACTTTCTGTATTGTTATGATCTGAGACATGATCTGAAGCTTACAACTTTGTTATCTTGAGATCACGACTTAACTATCTTGTGATCTCAAGATAACAAAGTTGTAAACTTCAGATCATGTCTTAATTATAGAGTGATCTCAAGATAACAAAATTGCAAGCTTGAGATCATGACTTAGTTATAGAGTGATCTCAAGATAACAAAGTTGTAAGCTTCACATCGTGACTTAATTATAGAGAATCTCAAGATAAATAAAGTTGTTATCTTGGGATCATGACTTAATTATCTTGTGATCTTGAGATATGACCTAACTATCTTGTGATGTCAAGGTTAAAAAAAGTTGTAAGCCTGAGATCATGACTTAATTATAGAGTGATCTCAAGATAACAAAGTTGTAAGCCTGAGATCATGACTTAATTTTAGAGTGGTCTCAAGATAACAAAGTTGTAAGCCTGAGATCATGACTTAATTATCTTGTGATCTCAAGGTAACAAAGTTGTAAGCTTGAGATCATGACTTAGTTATAGAGTGATCTCAAGATAACAAAGTTGTAAGCTTCACATCATGACTTAATTATAGAGTGATCTCAAGATAACAAAGTTGTAAGCTTCACATCATGACTTAATTGCCGAGTAATCTCAAGATAAATAAAGTTGTTATCTTGGGATCATGACTTAATTATCTTGTGATCTTGAGATAAGACTTAAGTATCTTGTGATCTCAAGGTAAAAAAGTTGTAAGCCTGAGATCAAGAGTTAATTATAGAGTGATCTCAAGATAACAAATTTGTAAGCTTCAGATCATGACTTAATTATAGACAGATCTTAAGATAACCATAGTTGTTACCTTGAGATCATGACTTAATTATCTTGTGATCTTGAGATATGACTTAACTATCTTGTGATCTCAAGATAAAGTTGTAAGCCTGAGATCATGACTTAATTATAGTGATCTCAAGATAATAAAGTTGTAAGCTTCAGATCATGACTTAATTATAGAGCGACCTCAAGATAACAAAAGTTATCCTGAGATCACAAGACAACTGAGATCACAAGATAATTATGACACTAAGTTGTTATCTTGAGATCACGACTTAATTATCTTGTGATCTTGAGAAAAGTTGTTACATTGAGATCACAACACAATTTAGTCATGATCTCAAGATAACAATCCAGAAATTTATAGCCACAATTCACGGACTCTCTGGACTTCCGTAAAGTGGAGCTGAAAAAATGGACAATGAGTGTAGAAACATTAATTTTGTTAGAAAATGTCAGATTTTTTTCGGAACCCCTGCTTTTCTTTTCTTTCTTTCTTTCTTTCTTTCTTTCTTTTTCTACAATTCTAAAGCTTCAAACTGAGAGATTTGAGCAGCAGCAAAGGAGCCCAGCAGCTGAACCAACAGAACACAGACTGAGATTAAACCCCAGAAGGAGCTGAATGTGAAGGGCGAGAACGAAACTGAGGAGAAAGTCGGTTCTTTTCCTCACAAAAACACTTGAAAGTGAGTTAAAGTGTTAGGAAAAGCGCAAATCACTCCAAATCTGTCTGAAATATTATGAAACCGGGTGACTCCAGTGAAGTAGTTCCTACCCACCTCTGCTGAGGCCGTGGAGAGAGCAGGAGGTGCTGAGTGGGAAGAAGACATGGCGGGGAGGAGCTTGAGAAAGTATAAACTTGGATGCGTTTAAGCTGTGCTAAAAAGCCTCGGCGCGCTAAAAACGATGCCAGAACGGGAACGAAGGACACGAACAGCCCGCCACATCGCGTCCAAACACGGTGGATATTCCCTGAACCTTTCCTTCTGTCACTGAAGGCTCCGTGAGGACGACTCGGGTCCGAAAGACTCGCATCAGTCGTTGGCGAACCGAGAGTGGAGCTTCACAGGCACGGCAGGCGACTCCCCCCCCCCAACAACAACAAGAAACACAATGGGATTTGTGCGACTGAGGAGAAGGAACGTGTCCAGCCCATGTGCCTCAAACATGACCACGTTTAGGTTGCTGTTTTTCACGCTGTGTGCTCCCGGAGTGCTGTCCTTCACCCGTGAGTACGGTGTGTGTCTGTGTGTGTGAGTGTGTGTGTGTGAGTGTGTGTGTGTGTGTGTGTGAGTGCGTGTGCTCTTCATGTGCTCTTCACTCTTTGCTTTGGTCGCTTTGGACTCTGCTTAGCCTGCTGAGAGTCAGTTTCTGATAAGTGTGAAGTTGAGTTGGGCTTAAGTTTGAGCTCAGTCCATCCAAAACCTGGACTAATAGACCCCTGACACGCAGCAGATCCTCCTTAACATCAATGAACTTCCCAGTTTTGGGAACTGGCTCAAGTCAGCAAAGTGAGTACTATGTGTGTGTGTGTTAACAGTTTGAAACAGCTGAAATCATTTTTAAAGAACTAACAGGTATTGTACTGGTGGAAAAAAGTGTGGGAATATGGGAATTTCAAGGCAGTAACTCATCTCCCGCAATGAACTTCCCGATTTTGGGAATTGTGGAAAACTGGACAAAGTATGGGAATATGGGAATTCCGAGGCCATAACTCATCTACCACAGTGAACTTCCCAATTTTGGGAATTGGCTCAAGTCGGAAGTGTGGGTACTGTGTGGGATATATGTTAACAGTTTGAAACGATTGAAATCGTTTTAAAAGAATAGGTATTATCCTGGTGGAAAAACTGGCCAAAATATGGGAATATTGGAATTTTAACTTATCTACCACAATGAACTTCGCAATTTTCGGGAATTGGCTCAAGTCGGAAATCAGAGTACTGTGTGGGATGTATGTTAACAGTTTTAAACAATTGAAATCATTTAAAAAACTAACAGGTGTTATACTGGTGGAAAAAAAACTGGCCAAAGTATTGGAATATGGGAATTTTAAAGCCATAACTCATCTACCACAATGAGCTTCCCAATTTTGGGAATGGGCTCAAGACATCAAAGTGATTATTATGTGCTCTGCATGTGTGTTAACAGTTTGAACCAATTGAAATCATTTTTAAAGAATTAATGGGGATTGTACTGGTGGAAAAACTGGCCAAGGTATGGGAATTTCAAGGCTGTAACTCATCTACCACATGCGCTGTGCGGTTTTATGAACTGTAACAAAACTTTGACATGGAGTGGTGTTTCTGAGCTCCTTGGCTGGGGTGAGTTATTGGGGAGACTGTCCTGTTGTTGTCCTAGTCTCCATGTGTGGCTTCAACTAATCCTTAGCACAATTTAATGTAGATATTTTTAATTTTTTTGCCTTTTTTTGATACCAGTTTTGTTCATGTGTGTTTAAAAATAGGAATGCACTGATATATATGATAACTGTGGGCCGATATCTAATATTGTCCATGTGCATGTCTGCTATGGCTGTTGCTCAAAAACCTTTATAAAATGCAGAAATTAGGAAAAAAGTCTACCCGTGTTGGTATTACAGAGAAATATAACCTGTAGGTTTTGGTTACAAAGGCAGTAAAATGAATAACATGCAGATACCTCAGCGCAGTAGCACAGCTTCACCTTAACGTTCTTCTTTTTACGGCATACAATACATACGTCATAAATATATTATATTGATATATAATATTATATAATGTTTCCTTTTTTTAATCAAACATGATTATGTATCCCTAGTGTAAAATTACAGTTTATACAGAAATGAGAGAATTTATAGAAAACACCGAATCTGATTGACGGCACTTATGAGCCGCATGTAATTAGGAGGCCTTTCGTGGCACGCACAGGTGTGAGAGGAAAAAAAGGAAAAGCGAAGACTGGGACTAATTACACTCAATTAGGGTTTGCCATTTTCACACCCTCCTTCGCCAGGCGAGGGATTAACAGCCCTTAAGAACGTGGCATCGGTCCATCGTTGCCACAGGATGGTAGGGGTGTAGGCGCTTCTTTTCATGTTTTCCATCTCACGTGTGAATCCCAGAGCACCAGAGTGGCTTTCTCTGGGCCTCCGTTTAACATAAACAGAGTTACTTAGCGGAGCAGGGGGAGAAAGACCTTAGGCACAAGTGTCCTTTTAACGCGGCGGCGCCGAATGACACCGCGAGCAGGAATGTCGGAGGCAGGTCCCCATTTTTCACCCCCTCGTTGATGGCAGTGGCTTAAGCCGGGGCTTAGTGGGAGCTGCCGTGTGTTTGCCTTGGTTTAGAATGTTTCTTCAGTGATCACAGGCCTGCGGGGCTTACCTCACGGGACCTTTTCAAAACAAGCGATATTTTACAGCCCATTTCCTATTCGGACACATAAAATAAATACGGGTAATTGCAGCTGTCGTTAAAGTGTTTAAAGTAAAAAGGGCTCTCTGTGCCGACTCTGATTTTCGTACTCCGTCTTTTCCTTTGATGAAACGGTTCCACACGTAACCATGATTCAACAGTATCTCCGAGGCCAAAAGCGTGATCCCTTAATGCGTCGTCTGCTGGTGAAGTAAACTTCACTGGATCCTGCTTTTAAGAAAACTTAAATGATTACAGCTTTGGAACGTGGAACATATTCTTCAAACTGATGAAATACGTCGTTGACCCCTGTAAAACCATTACTAGATGATGTGATGTAATATGCCCTGTTATTGCAATTAGCAAGTATAAACATCACGACCAGCCACATCATCATGAACAATACATTTGTGTCCAGTTTTCAACCAGCTCTTTTATCAGTCGTACTGGATTTATTTTGTCATTGTTGTTAGCAATTTAGATCAAGAAGCAGCTAAGAAATGACATTTCTCCTCTTTGTTTGCTCCTGCTTCTTTTCATTTCTGGTTCACATGCCAGATATAGTGTGGTTTTCATTAGACCTCAGTCACATTCTTCACAAGTAGTCTTGTATCTCTGCTTAGTTTAGTCTCGGTACTAACGCCTAACTATGTCTCAGTGACCTTAAGGCAGAGGTTCTCAAAGCATTCCTCAGGGACCCCCAGACAATGTAGATTTTTATTTTTAACCTAACTTGTAACTTACAAGTCTGGGCTAAACTTAATCTCAATTACGTTATAGTATGAAGGAGTGCTGTAAAACAGTGTACAATTGTCATTTAAACCAGTATATATTGCTAAGCATTCACATATCCAGGCTTAATTCATGCCACTTTAAGTCAGTCACATTACTTTGCTGAGAATTTCTTATAATCTGTAAATTGCCAAATATGCCACACTGGCTCATAAGGCCTCGTGCATGGTGCATGGACCCCGCTTATTGCCGCTCATTGCTGTATTTACTGCTGTGTTATGTTCATTTCTGCAGCGAATAGCTGTTTCTCCACTGCCTATAGTTAAAGCTTTATGTCTCAGTTATAGTAAGGTATCTAGCTGTGCCGTATAACACTGTACAGCTGATATTTAAACCAGCATGTATTGCCAAGCATTCACAAATCTAAGCTTAATTCCTACCACTTTAAGTTGGTTACATTTATTACTTTGCTGAGAATTTTTTTTAGAATCCGTTTACCAAATGTGCCACACTGGCTCATAAGGCCTCATATGGGTGCATGGACCCTACTTTTTGCCGCCCTCTGCTGTATTTACTGCTGTGTTATGTTCATTCCTACAGCCAATAGCTATTTATCCACTGCCTATAGTTAAAGCTTTATGTCTCAGTTATGATTGTTGTTTAAATCAGCATGTATTGCCAAGCATTCATAATTGCAGACCTAATTCGTGGCATTTTTAAGTATGAAAGGGTTGAATGATACATTTATTGTTTTGCGGAGAATTTTTGAACACCTTTCTACAAAAAGCACTCACACTGGCTCATAAGTCCTCATACCAGCACATGGTGCTTGGACCCCGCTGATTGCCTCCCGCTAATTGCCGCCCACTGCTGTATTTAAAGTTATGTCATTTCTACTGCCTGTAGCTATTTCTCCACTGATTATAGCTAAAGCTTAGTCATTCAAACACAGCTTAGATCTCTCCTTCTCTAACATGCTGTCTCTACACCCTCCCCACCCCCAGCAATGGCGAGCGTGTATCCTCAGGATCCGGCCCTGCTGATTGGTTCCAGCCTGACGGCCACATGCTCGGTCAACCCGGACCACGGCCTGCACGCCGGCTCTCTTTACTGGACGCTAAATGGCAAGCGTCTACCCAGCAGCACCTACAGCATCCTGAGCCCCACTGTCCTCAGCGTCACTCTGAAAAACCTGAGTGGGTCACGCCAGCGCTCCGGTGACAACCTGGTGTGCCACGGCGGCAGTGGCCACGTGCTGGCTGGCTCCTGCCTCTATGTGGGCAGTAAGTCTGTATGTGTGTGAAGCGAATGTGTGGCTGATTCTTTTGTTAGATTATTTGGGTAATAAAGTAGGAGTTCCTACAACCTAAAACAAATCGATTAGTATCTAGGGGAGTAACGATACGCTCGGCTCACAATCCGATTGTCTATACTTGATTGACAAGTCGATATTCTCATGATATTTTGAACAAAATTGGAATGAAGGAAAATTATGACTGTATCCATGTTGTTGCACAGCTGACCAATGAATATGTTGGTGTCAGTTGTTGATTGGTGCTGGTTGTTTGCAAACTTGCATACGATAAGGGCCCACATGGTGGAAAACCCACTTTCCCTCTCTTTTTTGAAGTTAAGTAATTTGCAGACATTGTTAAAGTTTCAAAATGTACCAGTATATAGTCCATATTAGGATACTAAGTTGCAAAAGCAGTCGATTTTGTGTGTATTTACATGCACTTAATAATCCAATAACTGCAGAAAATCAAAACAGAAAACACGTTTACATACACTTGAGTAATCAGATAATGGGAAACTCTGGGTCTACATGAGTGAGGCAGTAATCAGATTTCTGCTTTGCAGCCAGCCAATAAACTCACAGAAGAAGACGTGAAATGAATGTAACGTAAAACTCAAAATTCATGCTGCGGCTTTTTTTTTTAAACATCGCGCCACTTTACCTAATAATATGAACATACATCATCTAGAAGATGAAGAATATTTACATTTTTTATTTCGTGTTTGGTTTCAGCATCGTTCCAGAAATGTTCTGTTGCCATCTCGCGGCAACGCTGCTTGTTTATTTCCGGTACCATCATTTGTTCTCGCGCATGAACAGACTGAGAAATCTGAAAGAAATCAGAGTAAGAGTACTGAGCTAAAATCCAGCTCTTTTTTATCAGATTTCTTTATCGGATTTCTAGATCAGAGTGTGGTGTTTACATGACCATTTGAACAATCAGATAACTGCAGAAATCCGATTATGATCGGATTATTGAGTGCATGTAAACACTCATTGTTTCTGTGACATTGCGAGAACAAAATAATTTACATATATTCGCCCATTCATCCTACAGCAGTTTAGCACCTTCCATTCATGTTTTTTTTTTCACACACAATGCAGGACAACCAATCAGAACAGAGCTCATTTATCTTATATATCTATAAAGGGACAGAAACATTGAAAAATAGTCATGTGAAAAATGAATAATGACTATATTTGGTACATAAAACCACACATTTCATAAGTGGACCTTAAAGGAAACAATAAAATACAAGAAAAATGTTAGATATGGGCTTTTTAAACAATGCAGTAGCATTGAATGTCAGAATTAATAGAATGTCCTTTCTCCACTATTTATTGCCACATTTTTACATTGTCACATACATTGTTATACCTCTATAATTTTCTCTTCAGAGGTTTTAGGAAGCTGTCATGGTTTGTTGAAAAGCCCCTCAACCCAAATTATGCGGCAGTATAATAGTTTAATATGATAATTAACTAATCTTTTATCATGGTTTATCCTATCACAATATTATTTTAAGAACAAAAATACACATGTAAGCTAATACATTTTTTAAAAACAATAATGTGTTGTTTGTTACATATTCTAAAGATTTCTCTGGTGGCTGCTTGTGTAAAGGTGCAGCAGTCTTCATTAATTTCTGGAATGCTTTTTTTGGTGGGCATCACGTCTTTGGTTTCCCCTGGATTTCGATTGGTACCCTTGGCACTCTAGATAGCACAAAAAATATGAAGGGATAACACTGCAAGCTTTATCGTGAGCTGAGATGGCGGTCAGACCCATAACACCCTAAAACAGCTGTCCAAACATCGAATAAAGCACGGAATCACAATCTGACAGAGTAGTAGGAGCTTGTGAAACCAGAAGTATTCTGGGTTTTAGTGAATAGAAAATGCAGTGACGATATTTAAAAGCGTCCGTGATGAGAGTATTATGTATGTTGAATACTGCAGTATACCGTATTACTGACTATTGGCACATGTCTACCCCAAATGGTGTCTGGAGTTTGCTTTATAAGCTTTGCACTTGATCTATAAGGACAAAAAATCCAAATTTCATGAGAAAGTTGTGAGATTACTTAACAGCCTGACAGTGGTGATCATTCAGTCATGTGCTATGCCAATTGGTACCATATAAACTTAACAAAGCTACATTAGCTCCAGTGCAAAACTGAGGAGGCCAACTTTGAGGACACCCCACATTTCAGGGCTGATCAACTAGATCTAGAGTCAGGGGGAAATTGAGAATTAGATTTGACTGACTTAAGAATTGATCAAACTGAAAGGGAACTGTGACAGGGGGTCAGCTGACCTGGAGGGTAGAGTTCAGTTCATTGAGAACATGAGGTTCAGAGCTGTAGCCGATGGATGGCCATTTAAATCAGAAGGTTATGTAAGACCCTTAGGATACAGTACTGTTTACAAGTAATAGACCTTAATTTATTTAAATTCTAGTCAAAGCAGCCATTAAATACAACATATTCATTATTTAGCACATATTAAACAGAACATCACACAGAGGTCTCAACAACTAAATAGAAGATCACATATTTTAGTATTTCATGTGTTCAGCCTTTACTTTTATTGCAGCTTCTGTTCTTTTCTTACATTCAGTTTTTGAAAGAAATCTGCAGGGATATTTTTCCATACAACCAAAGTTAGAAGTTGGTTGCACTTTCTACTACTGACAATCCAAGTAATCCTCACATTCAGTGGTAATAAATTCTGGACTCTGGGGTGGTCAGTTCATTGTTCTGAGAACACCAGCAGCTTCTTTCTTTGATTTGCAGATGTTCTTTTTTTGTCTATTTCCTTTTCTCAGTTCAGTGAGGCTTCTTTACAGCTACACGTCCTTTCAGACCCATTACTTCACTAACAGCTACTAGTGTTGCTCTGTAGGCGACCCTGCCAGTCTACAGTGTTAGCAGAGGAGGGTAAAGTTCAGCTCCTCACTGCTGGGCTTTAGTTACAATTAGGGAATCATCTGCCTTCAAAGAGGGGCGATTATTTATTATTGCCCACCCCTAATTCTTCAGTGATATGAAGCTGAAGTCAGATATTCTTGTTCGAATTTTCCCGTTCCACCTTAAATGGAGCAGTAGTTCTGACACCTGAGGAACTGCTGCTCCATTTAAGGAGAACGGAGAAATTTCTCACATTTGTGGGTTTCTTTGGTCTCTTGTTCAGCCATCTTGCCGTTTTTTCTTTTTTCTCATATCACTCTGTTTGGAGTGTGACTCTGCAAAACCTCCATCTGGAGGGCCATGTAGCCCAAACACTTCGCCGTACCCCTCTATCTCAGCAAACATCGGGACACCCTACCCCTAGATGTGAACATGCGAAACGGAGGGCTGAGGGCTAAGTGGCAGGGGCAAGGGGTGAAATGGAATCAGGCCTTTCTCCTTCCTTATGCAAGTAGTTCTCTTCTGATTAGAAATACCTCATGAAAAACTAGTAGTTAATGAATTAACGAAAAAAAGGAAGTTGAATTAATGAAGGCTTTGCAGAGTCTATGGTTGATTCTGTATGTGTCGTTTAAGTTCTACTACTATCGCTTCGGCACCCATGAGGTCCATTAGAGCTAGCAGGCGAATCCGACTGAGCGCACTGGCCGACGTAAGTCCGAACAAATGCTCCGCATAGACGGTGCAGTGGTGATATGGAAAATTACTAGGGCAGACACACACACACACACACACACACTCGCATGTGAGTGCAGGACAGTCTGAGGGGGGAAACGGGGAAGGGAGAGAGTGTGTGGGTGAGAAAGGAAGAATGAGAGCAGGACCGAGAGTGGAGAGGCCGTGTATGTGTGTGCATGTTGAAGTGCCGTGTTCCGTTAAGTAGAGCTCTATGTGTCTCGGCGGTCTCATCTGCGGGGTTTGTTGGCCTTAATCAGGCTCTGACACTTCCACTGCCTGCCTTTTGTTCTCAGTTGAATGGAATCTTGGCGCCCGTCCTGAAGTTAATCGAGGATGACAGCTGAAAACACTCATCCGTTGTTGAAAATATTTAAGTCAAGCCATTATTTTCAGACCGTCTATGAGGATCTGCGTTTTCGCCTCATTTCCCCGGGCTTTTTTCTTGTAGCGTGGTTCTAGGAGGTGAACGTGTTATGTGGACACCCCACTGCAGATACTTTGTAGATTTTACTTATGATTGAACTTGCATTCATCGAAATATTTAAACCTGGCCCTAACCTTAATTTTTTAAAAAGTTCTACAAAATTGTGTTGTAAACTAAGTCATTCAGAGCACTTTGAAGTGAAATGCTCCATTGTACTGAAAATTGCCAGCTCTTTACTATTGGGGTGATAGGAACCAGGGGTCACGATGTCTACAGTGCGAATATAACCATTTTATTTGCTAATGAAAATGACCAGTGAACCTACACAAGTCCTCTGAGGTTTATATGTAATAGTGATGGAAAAAGTTCCAAATCTGAAAAATATGTTTTCTTTGGGGACTATTTTGCCTTACAATGCCCTGCATGTACCTCTCTGCCTTTATAAATACATGTTAGGCCAAAATCAGATCTTAAAACTATCAAAACAATGTGTCAGGGATCAGTTCATAACTTTTTCATGTATTAACTTTCTGTTCAGGGAGCTTTTAGAAGCATTGAGTGCCTCAGATGTCTGGTTCCTATCACCACCACTGTGAACAATTCTGGTTCTCTGGAATTTTACACCCTCTGAATGGAAGTTTTATTATAGTTCAACCAGTTTGCATTGAAGTCTCTGTAGTTACTGAAAAATAAGCCTTAGAATGTAATAAGCCTGAGATTTTAAGGGGTTAATGATTGAAATTTGCAAATCTTGGAAAATTTCCTTTAACCCCAACTCAAAACCTAAACACAGCACTAACCCTAGTTTGCTTATATTTGAATTAAAATTTGACCATCTGAAGATAAGCCATAGATTTTTATATATGGCTGCTGTCGGATCAAAACCTTGTATCTGCTTACTTTTAATGTAAGTCAATGGAACCAGACTTTTTTCCCAAGTCATTTTGGTCCATTTCTTGTGTTCCATTCATCATGAAAATTACACACAATGTGAAGGGCAACATGCATTTTCAAATGATCTCAGAAACTGAAAATCAACAAAAATGGAGATACAAAGTTTTGTTCCAACAGCAGCGATATATACAAAATGGGACCCTTTGATGTATCAGTCTGAAAATAGCAAAGTGCTTTGATTTTTGAGTAATTAATTTTGCATACCATAAACATTTTGATAGGTAAGCATAATCAGAATTGGCCAAGATGGGAACTGGCAGATTTTGCCTCGAACACATGATCAGCAATCATCATTTGGCTAATTCATTCTATTTATTTTGGCTGATATGTTTTGCAAATTTATTACGTAAATAATGTGAGCCAGCTCATTTGTGTTTGAATGCTGCTGCTATGCATATACCAAAATGTCATAGCATGATTATGCATGACTCACTAAAAAGTCATTTACCTCTTACTTTCAATATAGCACTTGATTTGATTTATGTTATTTTATGATTTTTAATTTATGGTGCCAGTTTGGCCCATTAAAGAGCAAATAATGTTATTTATATTGCAACTTTAGCTGATAGAAAACCTCATATCTCCAAAATTAAAACTTTACAGGAGAAGGCAAAAACATACTTTACTTTTAATGTAAGTCAATAGAACCAGACCTTTTTCCAAGTATATTTAGGCCATTTCTGTGAGTCAATTCTTCGTGAAATTTACACACAATATAAACGGCAATGGGTATTTTCAAATTATGTCAAAAACCGAAAAACGACAAAAATGGAAATATGAGGTTTTGTTCCGACAGCAGCGAAATGCAGGTCTGAGTGGACATATAATAACTATTAAATACAGAAATTTACAGAATGAACTTTTATAAAAATGACCATTTGTATGAAATTATATTGATGAAGTAATAACCTGTTATGTGGTGTCTGGAGCTGTAGCCTCCTAGCTAGCTGGCTCCTCTCTTCTAGCTAACACCCCAGTACAGGTTCCATTCAACTAACTGGTGCTCTGCTATCACAAGTATAGATGAAAAACAAAGTCGAGCAGGTGTGTGTAATATATATATAATATATATATATATATATATATATATATATATATATTTATACCATCAGCCAATTTGGCAGTCAAGAAATCAGAAATATAACTGGCTGTTAAAATTCATTGTGCATTATATGAATATAAACATATGTAAATGTTGAGATTTCTAAATTCACTGAAAAGTTTCCTAAAGAAACAAAGTTCAGTCTATAGCTGTGAGCTCAGAGATCTAAACTGCAGGCAGATCTAGCTTCAAATACATCTTAGGTAAAGTGTTGAGGCCTTAGCAATGGCAAACACTAGACCACCTCATAGACATCATCTGTGTTTAGGAAGAAAGACTCAGCTTTTGTATTCCTCCACTAGGACACCATTATAACCCGGTGTTCTTTTCTTTGTCTAGTGCCGCCTGAGAAGCCAGTCAACCTTACCTGTTGGTCCAGGAACACAAAAGACCTCACCTGCAGATGGGCTCCTGGGGGCCAGGGGGAAACTTTCATCAAGACCAAATACACTCTGAAATACAAGCTCAGGTATGTGCTGCAGATCCCACTCAGCTCGGTGCTTCTACACCTCAATCAGGCGTTGGTTTAGCCTGTTGTTGCTAATAATGAATAAGGTTGGTAGGAGCCAGTTAATATGCCATGCTCTCTTTATTATTATCCACATTCACACTTTTACACGCAGTGTTCTTTTATCCCGAGGGCGGTTTGGGAATGTTTAAGAAGCGCTCAAACCGGCTCTTTGCTAATCCCGTTGAACTGTAAAAGAGGTTACTCAACAAAAAAAGGCAATGCCAATGTTAATATTGTGATGCTCCAGATTCCTTTTTCATTGTTTGTGTACATATTCAAGCACCAGGACTGATGTGCTCAAGTTGCCACACATTGAATTTGTTAAATATGCTGCGGAATTGTACTGACAGCTCTTTCGGGAAGGTTGGCGAGTCTTGGTCATTGGTTAGTGATGAAGGTGGAGAGCAGGGATGGGAAACTCCTGTCCTGGAGGGCCAGATTCCTGCACAATTAGATGATTTTCCTGCTCAAATACACCTGATTCAACTCATCAGAGAATTGGCAGGTTTAGACCTGCAGTTTGAATGATGCTAATTAGTGGCTATAAGCTTCAATTACTTAGCTACCTTAGCCGCGTAGCTTCAGTGCAAAGGTAAGGAAAGTTCAGGCACCAAACATGCCTTGGCTGATTGGTTGCGTTTGGGGTAAATTTGCTTTACTGAAACGTTTTGCCCCGTCCAGGGTTTTTCCTGCCTCCCGCCCGTTGACCGCTGGGATAGGCTCCAGCTCCCCCCGCGACCCAGAAGGATAAGCGGCTTAGAAAATGTGCGTGTGAAATGTTTTGCGTTGTGATAACAGTAACGTCCATGAACATCAGTCTTGCTTCAGATTTTAACGCTTCTTTTTAACCCCTTAAAACCCCAGGATTATTACATTCTAAGGCTTATTATTCAGTACTTACACTCTTAAAAGATGGTGCTTCAAGGGTTCTTTAGTAAAGAAAATGGCTCTATATAGAACCATGAACACTCAAAGAAGCCCTTTGCATGATTAAATGGTTCTTTGCATGTGAAATCGTTCTTCAGATTGATGGAGAACGTGCTGTACATGGTTCTGTATAGAACCTTTTTGAATAGGTCTATATAGCACACAAAAGTCTTCTTTTGTTCAGGTGTCAAGCTTGTAACAATAGGAGAACCCTTTTGGGTGCTATATTTCATATAGATTCTATACAGAACCATCTATCTAGCACATTAATGCACATTTTCTGTCAATCCATAGAAGCCTGTTATGATGCAAAGAACCCTTCAATCATGTAAAAAGTGTTCATGGTTCTATATAGAACCATTTTCTTTACTGAAGAACCCTTGAATCTTTTGTACCAGGGGTGTTAAGGGGTGAAACTGTCAACATAGCATCATCATTGTGGTCAGTTCCACCTCTTCAGCATATCTCTCTACTATAAGGAAGGAAAGTGGTCAGATCTCTCGTTGCTGTTTGCATTTAAAACGTAGGTTAACAGTGAACTGGATGTGCTACACAGGTTGTACAGCATTGCATCCCAACCAGTGACCATCCCTATGGTCATGAAAATTACTGTTGCATAAGAATTCCAGGTGTAAGAGATTTTTAGTTGCATATAAAAAATGTCTTTATTTGAGTGAGTCTCTGCATAGAGACTCACTCAAACAAGAGTAAAAATGGCCCACCGGAATCTGCACCCAGGTAAAAGGATGTCAAAGTGAATGTTATTATTGGTAGTAGTATACAGTATTGTGCAAAAGTCAGAGACTCTTATTTCACCCCTTAACATTCCATGCTAAGGCTCGTTATTCAGTAACTACAGGGACTTCAATTATTAGGTTATAGAGGGTGTGTAATAAAACATGGCTAGTTATGTTTTTAATTTGCATTCCAAAGCCACTTTTTAGGAGATTTTTTTTTAGGATATTGGATATAAGATACCTACTTGCATAATAACGGGGAGAGTCAAGGGACAATAAGTGAAAAAACAAGTTTCCAAAACTGGAGTACAAACAATGAGAAAACAGGCCTCCTAACAACCACCTGGAAGACGTGGAAGACACCAAAACTGTCCCTATCAGATAAACAGCACTTAAAGCTTTCATCTTTGAGAGAGAGGAGAAAATCAAGCTGCTTCAGATCTGAAAACATCCACAGGTGTTTCTGTCCATCCTTCCACTGTGAGAAGACAACTCAGCGCTACGAATGTGGGTTCAAGAAGCCCTTACTGAGAAAAGGAAACAGACAATAAAGGAGAACATTTGTGAATTAAACAAAGAAGCTGCTGAAGTACTGACCACCCCAGAGTCCAGACCCCAACATCAGTGAATGTGTTTGGGATTATTTGGATCATGAAAAGCAGAAAAAGCAACCAACTTCTAAGACTGAACTTTGGAGATGTGGAAAAATGTCCCTGCAGGTTTCTTTGAAAAATGAAATTTACTGAAAAGAATGAAAACTGTGACACTGAATACTGAAAAAAGTGGTAATGTGTAGTGTTATGGTGTTCTATGACTTTTGCACTGTCATGTCCAGCACTGTACAGCTTCCACTGCTGTGCGTAAGAGCGTTAAAACTGGTCTATGTTCCTGCAGGTGGTACGGGCAGGAGAAGGAGTGTGAGGACTACAGCGCAGGGCCGTACACGTGCTACATCCCCCGCGACCTCGCCCTCTTCACGCCTTACGAGATCTGGGTGGAGGCCTCCAACCAGCTGGGAAGCGCCACCTCGGACGTCATCAGCCTGGATATCCTAGACGTGGGTGAGTGAACTCTGACCCCATTCCATTCCGCACGCCGCCCCCAGGTGTCTGAAAGCAGGGTGGGGTCCGTGACGAATCGCCCCACTCCCACCTCTTTTCCATTGAAGGTTTCAGCTACCCCCCACCAACACCTCCTCGCACATGCGCTCTCTCCGCCCCCGTTCAGGGCTTTTTCACGTGAGAACGGAAGTTTACGAGACTCTGGCTAATCCGAATGCTGCAGCACGCCTCGGGCCACACTTAAACAGTGATGCGCCATGAAAGGAAGACTCCAAGACTGTCCATAAAACCCTTCGGATGGTGTTATCTTTGAGCGCCGGCCAAGCCAGCCTCAGACTGGAAATTTCAAATATCAGATGTTCTCATAAAAACAGACTTAACTCATTTTCAGAAATATCATTTTAATTCAGGAAGTATTAGTGCTTGGCAAGACAGCAGACTGTGTCTTAGGCTCGGCCATGCAATAACTGGCCCGCGTTCGCCGGTATGTGCGCCACACCTGGAGGTAGAGGCAGGTTTGGAGGCGAGCAGCAGCTGGAGGAGTAAAGCATGCATTGCGCTAATGATGCCAGAAAGATGACGCACCCACCACACCTAACGCCTCCGCTTAGCTACCCAACAGAAAGCTGATCAATATTTTTTCTGATCTTACCATCAGCTTTTGTGTCATATGGATATAACATAATGCACAGAAACATAATAGTGATATATATTATTATATACACTGCCCATCAAAAGTTTGGAGACGCCAAATGGAAATTAGCAGGAGTGGACGGTATGGGAAGAACATAACATTGCAATACTTTTTGCAAGACATTTGCAAAATACATGATATGCATCACAATATTTGGTTTACTGAGGTTTAATAAGTTGCAAGAGACAATGAACCAGTAGTGCCTCATTTAAAAAAATACAATCCAAAATTCACATTTATTCAAAAATTTAAATACTAATTATACACTCTTTGTATCAACTATGCTTTTCAGAGTTCTTTAAGTACCGATGACTCGGAAAAGCATATCGTGATGTAATTTATTGCGATAATGATAAATATCGGCATATTGCCCACCCTTAAAACTTACTGCGCTTTCTGTGTCAACAGCTTAGAAATGAAATAGAAAGCTGACATTTTTTTCTTTATGCAAAAATAGCAAAACTGAAGGAACATTGGGTTCTAGACTGGGCATCATACCAATTCACACACATTTTATCTCCACTAAGTTTGGCCCAAAATAGTTTTTAATAATGAAAACTATAATAATAATGCTTTTAATAATAGTTTGGAAAAGAAAACTGTCAGATCATTATTTATGCAAAACCTGCTCTTCATACAACATAAGATACTTTAATACAATTGAAGGTATAATCTGGTATTAGCAAGAAGCTGTTTGTCAAAATTTCTATATAATTCAATAGTTGAGATGGAAGCTAAGTCATTCAGAGTGCTTTGATGACTCTGCTGACTTTCTTTACAGTGGTGGTGATGGAAACCAGGGGTCACCATGTCTGCAACACAAATACAGCAATTTTATTTACTATCAAAACCACCAGTGATTGGTAAAATAGTGGTTTAATCTCAAAAAATATGTTTTCACTGGAGATTGTTTTGCTGTACAACACACTGCATGTACATCTCTGCCATAAATATGTTATAAAAATATTTTTAGGCCAAAAGCATATTTTAAATCTATCTGAGAACAGTGAGTGTGTTTACATGCACTTAATAATCCGATAACTGCAGAAAATCAGATTTTGTCAGTAATCTGATCAACACCTTTACATGCACTTGAGTAATCAGATAATGGGGAAACTCCAGGTCTACATGAGTCAGACAGTGATGAGATTTCTGCTTTGCAGCCAGCCAATAAACTCACAGAAGACGTGACGTAAATGTAAAACAAACCTCAAACTTCATGCTGCAGCTTTTTTAAAAAACATCGCACCACTTTACCTAAAAAAATATGAACATCTAGAAGATGAAGAATATTTAAATCCTTCATTTCATCAAGAATGTAGTCGATTTCAGCGTCGCTCCAAAAGTGTTTTGCTGTGTCTCGCGACGCTGCTTGCATATTTCCAGTACCGCCGTCTGTTTTCACACATATGCAGACTGAGAAATCTGAAAGAAATCAGAGTAAGAGTTCACATGCACTGAGAAATCTGATTACTGAGCTAAAATCCAGTTCAGAAATCCAGTGTATTGGATTTCTTAATCAGATTTCTAGACCGTACTCTGATCTAAGAAATCAGAGTGTGCTGTTTACATGACCATTTGAATAATCAGATAACTGCAGAAATCTGATTATGATCGGATTATTAAGTGCATGGAAGCGCAGTCATTGTCACATGGCAGCAGGCAACATACATGTAATGATTTCATGTAATACGTGAGGGAGCTTTTAGAGGCATTAGACACTTAAGACGTCTGGTTCCTATCACCACCACTGTGAACAGTTCGGACCTGGTTTCTCTAGAAAAGAGTGTTTCACACCAAACCACTCTGAATTACTTTGTTTACATCCTAGATATTTAATTTAATGCAGACATGTTGAAAAATCTTGAGAACTGGTTGAGGTAGATCAGGGAAAACACTACAACATGCTGGGCAGTGGTGCCCTAGAGTGGAGACTGCAAACTTACAAAAAGGAGAAACCTACAGGTCACTTCAGTATCATTTCCACATAGGAGGTTTACTGTATGATCAGTTTGTCTCCTGCTGTGCTGAGTTCCATTCTTCTCTGTCCCTTTTCCAGTGACGACGGATCCTCCGGCAGACGTCCACGTGAGCCGAGTGGGTGACCTGGAGGACCAGCTGACTGTTCGCTGGGGAACGCCACCAGCCCTCAAGGACTTCCTCTTCCAGGCCAAGTACCAGATCCGCTACAGGCTGGAGGACAGCACCGAGTGGAAGGTAGTGTGACCAAAGAACTCGAGAACAGTAGAGGCTGTGTTTGAACCAGCTATGGACCTTATCAAGGCATGTTATGACTTACGGTATCAGCCAAAAGCTTGGATCCACCTGATTGAATGTGTGTTTTTTCTAATCTGAAAAATAGATCCAAATGATATTTTTTAATTATTTGAAATTTGTTTCAGTCCAAACATAAATAGTGATGTTGATGCTGTTTAATATATGATATGTTCAGAAGTATCCAGATTTCTTATTAGTAAATTCAGACACTTCAAATTGTTAATATCTTTAGTCTTTCTAATGAATTTGACATGATTTTATGTACCAAATGTACCAAAAACGTTAAGTTTGCTTGACAAAGCTGTTGCTATAAAATCCCAGGTAGTTGCTAAAGTGTTGCTATGTTATCCAGGTGGTTGCTCAGGCGTTGCTAGGCCTTTGCTGTAGTATCCCAGGTGGTTGCTAAGGTGTTGCTATGCTGTTGCTATGGTATTTCAGGTAGTTGCTGAGATGTTGCTAGGCCATTGCGATGTTATCCCAAGTAGTTGCTAAGGTGTCGCTAGGCCTTTGCTATGTTATCCTGTGTGGTTGCTAAGGTGTTACTAGGCTGTTGCTATGAAATCCCAGGTGGTTGCTGAGATGTTGCTAGACTGTTGCTGTGAAATCCCAGGTGGATGCTCATGTGTTGCTGGGCCATTGCTGTAGTATCCCAGGTGGTTGCTAAGGTGTTGCTAGGCTTTTGCTGCGCGTAGGCTCAACAGATGGACATATGTAAATGTGCTTGTTTTATTGATATCACGAAAACAGTGAATTCAAAACAGGCTGTTTAGCAGCTTAGTTTCCGTATGTGTCTGGACTGGGGAGTGAACAGTACATTTTGGACCTTTAACAACATTTACATAAAGGATTAAATCAAATCAAATCAATCAAAAAAATTCAGTTTCCCATAAAATGGGCCCTTACTGGTAGCTGCATCTCCATTAAAAAGCATTGCCAATAGAATAGGACGCTGTGTAGCAGCCACACATGAGTCTAAGGTCACCATGCCCAATGCCAAGCGCCAGTTAGAGGGGTATAAAAGCCCCCCAGCATTGGAGTGATGGAGCTCAGTACAGTATCTTTGGGATGAGCTGTGGTGGTCCAGAACAGGCCATCAGACATCAGTATCTGACCTCAATAATCAGGCTGAATGCAATCAGATCCTCACAGCAATGTTCCAACATCTGGTGTAAAGCCTTCCCAGAAGAGTAGACCCTGTTACTGCAGTAACCCCCCTATTAATCCTCCTGATTTCAGAAGAAATGTTGGATGAGTGGATGTCTACAAACTCAGAACAGCTAGTTTGAAGAACCTAAAATAAATAATCATTTATTCATATTATTTATTTCTGCTCACTAATATGTGGAAAATAGTGAAAACAAGATCCTCCCACTCACAAGGAGGTGTCCAAACCTTTGACAGGCACTGTATTTAACTTGAACAGGTGGCTGTTGTTAATGTGATGATTGATTGCAGTGTTAATTTGATGGCTGAGTGACTTTTATGTCGGTATTTTTATTAGTGCAAACCAGTTTCATTTTAAAGGTTGCCAAATCGGTGCGGTGCCTCCGGCGTACCCCTGTGGGTTTTGCAACAGCAGTAGTGTAGGAACTGTGCCATATGGGGGTTGGTGAAGCGAATGCAGAGACTTGGGGATATTTTTACGGAATCTGGAGCGAAAAGTGAGTGATTCACGATGATATCGAGTTTAATAGAAGAGGGCTGAGATTTATTAGGCAGAAAGAGGATATCCTGAAGGTTTAACGGTTTTACGAACACTGCCTCAGTCTTTTTTTTTTCTCCAGGTATTCAGAGATTTATTATTCATCCAGACTTGTGCTTCGGTCTGAAAAGGTCCAGAAGATTGCTAGACCATCTGAATCCTTAGGCCAGGGTAACTCACGGTGGTGCTCACCTCCAGAAAGCAGTGAAGATTGACTTTCATCATTAATGCTTTTCTCCAAAGTGGACCATTCCAGTGAAGGTTAAGTGGTTTGCACAAGGGCGCGGTGACACTGGCCATGAGCTGGCTACTGAGCCACTGCCATTCCCTCATCTTTGCAAGCCTCTAGTCTTTAAATTAACTTAATGGAAGTGTTATTATATGGAATAAACGTTCGTTTTAATGATCTGAGAGATGCTCATCTTCCCATACGTGACCGAATCACAAATATTTGCCTTCCTCATCTCTATGAATCATGACTTCATTTTAGCACCTCGGTATGTGAAACCTTCCTTGAGGGTGATAGGAATATCCTTGGGTAAAGTTACCGAGGCGCCATTTTCCAGGGCCGTGAGGAGAGATTTATTACCGCTCACCTTGTAACCACCTGACTCCTTAGGCCAGGATCTGGCTATGATCTGAAACAATCAGTTGGGACTTGGAGATGTTAAAGAGAGAAGTGATCAGTGGCAAATCTTTAGAAGCAAACAAATACGTCACCCAAAAATGCTAATGTGGCTGACAGTGAAATGGCATGATTCATTTGCCTAATGCTAACTGGCCCCAACTTGCTTTCATCGGCAAGAGTAGCATGGGAGGTGAAGGGTATTGTTGGCTCTTCATATTAGCTTACTGGCCCTGTTTATTGGATGGTTGTGTTGAGAAAGAGTCGAACGTTGTTGGCTTGTTATTGGCTTTCAGACTGGCTTGTTATTGGCTCTTCCTCTTGGATTGTTGAGGGATTGTTGAACAGATGTGTCAGTGGTTGAGGGGTCAGAATAGCAATTCCATGTCCAAAAGCAAAAAGGAGCCGTAAATCCAGACTGCAGGCTACTCCTTACGCTAACAGACTGACGGTATGGTTGTTAGTATTTGGTCTGGTTTTTTTGGTTCTTGCTGTGGTTTGTTAGTTTTTGGTCTGGTTTTGTGGTTCTTGCTGTGGTTTGGGAGTTTTTGGTATAGTTTGGTAGTTCTTGCTGTGGTTTGGGAGTTTTTGGTATGGTTTGGTAGTTCTTGCTGTGGTTTGGGAGTTTTTGGTATGGTTTGGTAGTTCTTGCTGTGGTTTGGGAGTTTTTGGTATGGTTTGGTAGTTCTTGGTATGGTTTGGTAGTTCTTGGTATGGTTTGAATGTTCTTGGTGTGGCTTGGTAGTTTTTGGTATGGTTTGAATGTTCTTGGTGTGGCTTGGTAGTTTTTGGTATGGTTTGAATGTTCTTGGTGTTGTATGGTAGGTTTTGGTATGGCTTTGTTGTCTTTGATGTGGTCTTGTAGTTTTTGGTATGGTTTTGTAGTTCTTTGTATGGTTTTGTTGTCCTTAATGTGGTTTGGTGCTTTTTGGTATGGTCTTCTAATTCTTGTCATGTTTGGTAGTTTTTGGGGTTTTTTTTACGATTTTGCACCTCTTGGTGTGGCTTGGTAGTTTTTGTTATGGTTTTTTTAGTTTGGTTGCTTGTGGTATGATTTTGTCATTCCTGGTATGGTTTGGTAATTTTTGGTATGGTTTAGTTGTTTTTGCTGTATGTTTAATATATGATGCGTTTACAGCTTATAAATAAGACCTTTATGCTGTTTAAGGAATGCTGACTTTTCTTATTTTTATTTTGCACCTTTTCAAAATATTTTTGTGATTTTTAATTCTTTGCCATTTACTTAAACAAGAGGTCAGTGAGAAAAGAGTCTGTACTTATTGCATACTCAATAAGAGACACACTATTTTGATCATCATTATTCACTTCTCGTCTCGTCATTGTCATATCCAACAACATCGCGTGTCCTTATCCTGCAGCCTTAAAAGAACCTGTTTGAACTGACGCAGCAGGGAAAGTATAGAGCAGTGAGTTCACTGCAATGAAAGATGAAGCCAGACATTTGCAAAACCGACCCTCTTCAGGCATCGAGTGCGAGTCTCCTTGGTGAGGTGATACACTTTGCCCGAGGTTATCAAAACGGCCAAATGAAAGAAGCTCTAATATAAACCCGACACTGTATTAGGCTAAACATTCCATATCCTCATCATAACAGCATATTTTAGGCATAGGGCCATCGTAACATCATACCAACAATTTACAGTTCATATAAACAAAGGTATTTCCTTCTGTTAATGGACTTTAGTACAAACACTGGTAGTTCAAAGACATCGTATTTAAGGTGGAATTTTGTTTGGATTGCATTTGCAAATCTGGGAAAGCTTTCAGTCATTTTTTGTAAATGTAGTAATGCTATTGGAATGGACATCTTACTAATTTAAGCTTCACCATATGCCTGATTAGTCTTCTTCTTTGCGTGAAAAAGTCTGGTGTTGTCAAATACAGGCACACACACACATGCAGGCTTTGTAAATTGGGCGAACCATCAGATCTACTTTGTACTGTGGTCTGCAGGAATCATAGGCTGGTTGAATAAGGCAGTACCACAAGCAATTTCCCCTCCAATAGATACATATCTGTGCATTTTGTAGTACACTTCTAGTTTCTGAATGCATCCTCGGCATCGCTGTGCAAAGAACAGCACAATGTTCAAATCAATAACAATAAATGTATTGAAAGAATTTTGGAGACGCTGTGATGGCAAAATGCCACAAAGCGTAGCGGTTCAAATTCCTTTATGGTACACCAAGGGAAATAAAAGTAAAGCGTAAATGTGAGAGTTCTTCATGTTCAAATATCCGTAACAGTTCATTCTGCCTTGTTGAATGATGTTACAAAAAGATATTATGGCTTGGAAGGTTTTAGAAGGAGGTTGGATGGTTTCGGAGCCTTTATTGCCAGGTTAAGCCTGTTTTTTTCCCAAACCTCTGAAACATTTTCTTCCAGACACCACAAATGTTTCTCCAGATTCAGCCAATATTCACAGCTTCCCTCTTATCCCAAGTGTAGTTGACCGGCCAAGTCTTGTAAGGTGTAAGTTTGCTACTTTAGCATCAAGTGTCTAAAGTTCCCTTATAGAGCTGCAAGGCTAATGTAACTAATGACTAATGGAAGCTTATACCCAGTGGTGGAGATTCAGGGGTAGGCGATATGGGAAAAATAGTATATCGCAATACTTAAAAATACAATACACAGGATCACGATATTTTGACACATAGAATACAGTAATTATTATTCAATATTTCACACACTATTCTGCACCAAATTCAGTTGGTCAGTGTTCATTAATTGCGCATGATATCCATGATATGCACAGATGAGCATATCGTGTTTCACAATAATTTTTGTCATTGTGATATTGCCCACCCCTAGTGGAAAAAACATTGTACTGAAAATCGTAAAATCAGGACAGAGCAATTTTGTAAATTGTCTATATTTGCTTCACCACTAAGCCAGGGTTCGGCAACATGTGGCTCCGGAGCCGCATGCGGCTCTTTTACTACCCTGTTGCGGCTCCACCGCAAAATTAACCATCAAATCTTTAGGTAAAAATAAAATAATCCTCCTTTGCAGTAAAATAAAGCTCTGCTGGTCGTTGTAACACGGTTTTAACAATAAATGGTCTTAAACGCTGGATGTAGAACTGCAAATTCACCCTTTAACCCTGAAGATTGGCGCACAGACTGCTGGTCACCATAGCAATGCAGACAACAGTCTCACCTAGCTAGTAGCTAACGAAAAGGCAAAGAGAAAGATTTAAGATGAACATCGATAATTTGGAGACTTATTTGCATTTGTAATCACTCCAGCTGTTTCCTGATACGTTTAATCTGAAACGAGAAGCTGTCAAACACTGTAAAGTTGTGAAGCGGAAGTCAGCTTCTTGTTTGAATTGTCCCGTTCCACCTTAAATGGTGCAGCAGTTACATTCTGGCGCCTCAGGCACCATTTAAGGTGGAACGGGAAAATTTGAACAAGAAGCTGGCGAATGAGAAGCTGATTCAGCCTCGTAAAAAGTCAAACGTTCAGAGACATTTTGCAAGAAACTGTTCTACTTTTGAGGAAAAGTTTCCTGCTGGAGATGCGAGAAAAGCGGCTATAGCTGAGCTGAAGCTTAAAGCAGAGCAAAGTAAGTCTGTGTTTTTGTTTGTATTATATTTTTAGCCTGTACTAGTACATCAGCACATACTGACTCATATTTACTTCCAATATGTTGAGATGGACATAAAATGTTGTGGCTCCCAAAATGGTTTGATTTTTGTTGAAAGGACAAAATGGCTCTTCTTAACGTTCGGGTTGCTGACCCCCGCACTAGACTATCCCTTTACGTGTTTTTCCCTGTTGCCTGCACCTGATGACGTTCATGAAGTGCCAGCAGATTAGCTGACGAGTTGATTCAGGTGTTTCAGAGCAGGGAAAATGCTGAACTGCCGAGTGTTGTGGCCTAGATCAACAGAAGCTGAGACTCTAAAAGCTGAATAAGTGGTTCTACCTTTGGGGTTTCCTTTTAGGAGTACATGTGGACCTTCACAGTTGTAGGGCTTGTTGGAAATGTCATTTCTAACAGGAACAGAATACCACATGGCTTCCAGTCCTCTTGTCATACCCGATGCACAGCCCTCAAATAAACTCAGCTTTCACCGTTCTTTTTGTTCTTCATATGGTTTCAATCAGCAAGCAGGTCTCTCTGAAGCCGGGCAGAGTTGGGTTACATAAAAGGCACTGTCTTGTTTTGTTTTAAACATGTCATTAGGCTGCCAGCGTATCTGATCCCTCGTGAAGTTCAAATTTGATAGAACGATCTTTATGTTTTTAAAAAGTCTCTACAAAGATGTTCTGAATGCTGCAGAACCGTAGGCCACACGCTCTTCCTCATGTGATTTGATCAGACTGTCAAGAGATAAAACTGTCATTTTGCCTTAATTTCGTTTATGGTACAGAATTATATAAAATGTAATTACGTAATTAGTTACATAGTTATTTACATAATGAATAATATTTGCATTCTATTTATATTCTATTTTTACAGGTTTGAGAGTGCACTTTGGACCCATTTCTGTTTGTTTCAATGTCAAAATATAACAAATGTGGCAAAAATAAAGCTTGTTTTAGCACAAAATTAAAACTGGTACATGCAGTAATATATTTCATTCCTTTAAATCATAACAAAATAACTTATTTTACTTATGAACACAAGTGATGTAGATTGTAAATATGGGCATTTAATTTAAATCTGAAATTTGAATAATTTGGATGCTATTATTCATGAAATATTTAACCTCTTAAATGGCCAGGGCCCAGTGGTCAGCCCAAAGTTTAGTTTTATTGCACACATCTATAACCTAAGAATAGCTCAGCCAGTTTGCATTGAACTCCCTGTAGTTACTGAGTAATAAGCCTTATTATGTAATAAACCTGGGATTTTAAGGGGTTTAAAAAAATGACCCACATATGACTCCTAAGACAACAGGTCACTGCATGGCAGACACATCAGATGGACGAAGTGCAGTATCCAAAGCGTCCTGTATTAACCCTAAAACACATATCTATAGTAGGAGACCTGACAGAGAAAGGCTGTCAGTCTAAAGCCTGTATGATGAGTAGACACTAACTCATATCACATCATAACTCATGTCACCTTGATCTTTTAGCTGGAAAACAGCAGGTTTGTGAAGAGTTTGTTAGCCAATAACGAATGGGACAGATTTAGTATGTAATGTTGGACGTATTATACCATTAACTCTATACAAGTAGAGTGTAAATGAGCTTCAGCTTGATGTTAACCTGGCTGACGCTTCATATGTGCTAAAGCTGGGTTTGTGTGAAGGGATGCTTCTCATCTGAGAGCGGTAGCCTTTAGATAGTCTTTCTGTGCTTACTTCTTTGAAGTAAACAGCTTAAATCAACCAAAACATAATGCTCTACTCTGCCCTCTAGTGGGGCATAGAGTTCAGACATCTCATGGTTGCTAAATGTGCGTATATATACATTAGAGATTAGCACTCGTAGACTGAATCTACACTTTTGACACAACTTCTCAGCTCGTTGCTCAGAGTAATTATACAGTTCTTTTGCTAGCGTCTTTCTGCAGGCCCCCTAGTGGCCACTCCGCTGGCGGAATGGAAATCGACTCAAATATTTTTAAGTAATACAATCAAATAAAGTGATTTTTCCCATAATGCTGTTATCACATGAACTACGACACTGTGTGTGAAATGTTGTAAATCTGTGTTGAGCTGCTAGCGAGCAATGAGGGGGAAAGGGGGGGGCGTGAAAACAGTTCTGTCCGCAAAGACGGCCGTACAGAGACAAACCGGACAGCAGCTTTTAAGAATAGCTTTTTTTATGTTTAAAAATAGCTTTTAAGCATTTCTTATTGTTGACCTGCTTGCTCACCTACGAAGGTAAAAATCCAGTGTAGTTTTGTGAGTTATACTCATTTCCATGGAAATATGTTCTATAAATGTTACTGAAAGAAAAAAAAACAATACCCGATCATTCTCTGTATGGTAGTACAAGTGATTATAAATAATCCGTTTATGGTTTGAAATTCTCTGCAGTGAACCTCCCAATGTTATGGGACCATTTGGAAACATAGGCATGCTATTCTACTCACAGTTTCCCATCAACACTGCAGGCAAATGACTATTCAGTCCTGTTCTGCTGCCACCTGACGAGCCTAATAAGGTTGTAGTATTCATTGCGTTCCGATTGTAATGATGCGCCACTGACGGATTGCGGCGTGATGTGTTTGATCATGTCAGACGTGGCGTTCCCAAATGTTTGTTTCTCTTGAAGTGGGGGGGCGTGACTGCGGAGACAGGCAGAATCAGGCTGGTTTTGGGTTGTAAATAATTACGGGGGGCCCCGGCCTTATTATCCTGGAGGCTCGGAGGCAGGGGACATTCCTGCATTTCAACCCCCCTCCGCTTCAACACGTAGTATTTAGAGGGAAAATTAGCTGGGGGGGTGGGGTGAGGTGCGGGGGGGGGGTGGCTTGGCTCTCGGCCCTGCTTGTAAGCTGTTGGTACTGTCTTCACCCGTCCAATTACTCAATCTGTAATAAGTAATAGATAACAGATTTCCTCTCAGGGCGCTGTAGGAGTGTGCCGCGAAGAACGAGTGCGCGGCTGAAAGCGTTTGTCTGTATCGTTTACTGTCTCTTTTGTCTCTGCTACATGACGGATCCTCTCCCGGGAGCGAAGAGCACGGAGCGGGGATTATTCGTCTCCCGGCTTCGCGCTCCAGCCTGTGCCAGCTTGCTTGCGGATTCGAGTATGAATGGCCTGTTTTTTTGGAACGTAAACAGGCCCCGTCAGTCGAGTGTGTGCATGTGTGGTATCGGCGTGGCTCCCAGCGCTTTGATGTGACCCTCTTTGTTTGGGTTTCTCGCTGCAGGTGGTGGATGACATGGGGAACCAGACGTCATGCAGGCTGGCTGGACTGAGGCCCGGGACGGTCTACTTCGTGCAGGTTCGCTGTAACCCCGTGGGCATCTTGGGCTCAAGAAAAGCCGGAATCTGGAGCGACTGGAGCCACCCGACCGCAGCGTCCACACCACACAGTGGTAAGAGGTCCATTGTCTATAACGATGCAGTGACTGAAACCAAAACTGAAACTCAGGACGTGATTGGCCGACGGTAAATAAAAACAGTTTGCATCGAATAAACATACAAAAGTTATGTAGGTCACAGCATGAGCCACAAAGCCAGTGCTGTGCTTTTATTTGGCTGTTTTTCTGTCGTGTTCTCAGTTGGTATCTAACCTAATGGGGACGTCATATGTTGTTGTATCTCGTCTTGACACCTGAAATGAACAGTGATTTTAATTTAATTGTCTAATAACCCTCATAGAACATAGTGACACAGTCCTACATGACATTTTCACTCTACTCTGACCGGTGCAGGAGAGCGAAAGGAGTAATCAGGGTTTTTAATCGCTAGTTTTTATTTACTCTACCGTAAAAAATGATTTGTAGGTTTTTTTGGTAGAGATTTTGACATTTTGGTCTAGGCCTATTTAGTCTATTAATTATTTATTTTATTTTTTTCGGTCAAAATTTTTGATGATTGAAATTTTCATCTTTAGCCATTTAGGAGCTGGATCAGTTTTAGCAGGGGAGGTGCTGTTAATTTGAGTGATAACCAGTGAGATCCAGTATGAATTTCTTACCAAATTACCTTCTATAATTTGCCAAACTCAGAACTCCTGTAATAATAGTAGTGTTCGAATCAACATCACAGCAATGTAAAAACCGAGTAATAGAATACGGTACATTTTGCGAACTGAAGATGAGGTTAACAGGAAAATGGAGCTAGATTTGACCCAATTCCCTAACCCTCAAGTTCATAACAAAACTACTGAAACATGTCGTTGATGGTCGAATTACAAGGAGAAGGAAAATGAAATATTTCAAAAGAACCTCTCGCAAGTACCCCTCCAAAGTTACTCTCAAAGTTACCTCTCAAAATTACCTCTCAAAATATAGAATCCGTAAAATTCTATATTCTATATTCTATATAAAATCTGTATAGAATCTCGAAATCCGCTGCAGAATCAGTAGGAGCTGGTCAGTTAGTCAGTTAGTTTCGCTGCAAACGTAGGGCCTCATTCACCAACCGTTCTTAAGAGGAAATTTCTTCTTAAAACACATTTATGCAGTTTTTACGAAGATTCTGACGTCAGTGTTTTCTCATTTGGGATCTGTTCTTAAGAATGTAGCCTTTTCTTTGGACTTTTCTCATGAAACAAATTTAAGAAAAAACTTATTTAGATATTAGTGAATGAGGCCCAGTGAGTTCAGAACCAATCAACGAACGCACTGCCATGGAGACACAGGTGGCAACTTGCACTGGCTTTTTGAACTAGAACAGAGCAACACATTTGTATACATGTACAAGCTTATGTTTTTACAATTGAACTGAGTAAAACTGAATACTTATGGCCATTTTTAGTTTATTCTTTAATATTTCCTCACAACAACTGAATGTGCAGCTTTGTTTGAAGACGGTTTCTGGCCGACAGCATCAAACTAGCATTTTCGGCATCTCTAAACTAGAGTTGCAGATGAAATGTTATGTAATGTTAAGCTTCATGTTTGGAGCCTGAAGTCAGTTTGGGAGTATCCTGACTGGAGCTGACAGTAAAACCACTGCACACAGTATTTAGTGTTTTTATTAGCCAAGTTATCTTAAGCAACAAAGTAATGTCAGTAATTAATGTAACCTTTTCTAGTTACATCATGTTATGATCTGTTTTCCATTGGATTCCCCAACACTTGTATACCTCCTCCTAAGCACACACTTACTTAGAAAGAGGTATAAATGTTTAGTAATGATTAGGCTCAATGTAAAAAGTCACATTTTGTCTTAGTAAGATGTGAAAGTTCATTTGCAAAAATAGATGGATTTTCATAAATCATGGTTTTTTTTGTGTTTTCCAGATAATATCCATCAAGCTGCTGTTGGGTTATTCTGATTAAGTAAAAAGAACTCAACAAAACAGGCAACTTACAAAATTCTCTATTGTTTATTCTCTATTAATTATCCTAATAACTCTATTGAAAAATAGTTTTTTTTTAATTAAACTTTGTTTTTTAGGAAAAGCAGATAGCTCCAGTGCGCATTTTTTTTTTAGAGTTAAAGCCATTTAATGGATGCAAGTTTCTTTTAAGTGGAATATATAACATTATAAAACAAGCAGGTAAAGAGCTGAAAACTGCAACAAAACCAGCCCATTAACAGGCAATTTTAAACATCTATAAGATCAGACTTTGGAAAATCCTAAGGCTGAGTCTCAAATGGCTCACTGCTCCCTATATAGTGCACTATGTAAGTTATCAAATTTTGGCTTTTATACCCAAACGTTGCATTTTATGTCCAGTATGAATTGTGCACACATGGCTGAATCCAAAGTGGTTCTTTGTTAGACACGCTGAGCTCTGCTTAAATGCAGTAGTCACTGCACTTTGTGGGGAAAAGGGAGCCATTTGAGATTTTGCCCATAAGAGTTCGCAGCAGCGTTGCATCGTCACCTGACCCAAACACTGCACGCTGATTTGCTGAACGGATTTATGGGGTTCTGCTTGAGAACAGTGCTGGCGCTTGACCATTTCTGCTGTAAAACGTGAACTTGCAATGCCTTGACAATAGACAATGATGGCTTTTGTGACAAAACTTACACTATGTGGACAAAAGTATTGGGACACCTATACATTACACCTACAGGAGCTTTACATCATCCCATTCTAAATCTATAGGCATTAATATGGAGTTGGACCCCCTTTGCAGCTGTAACAGCTTCCACTCTTCTGGGAAGCTGGGAAGATTTTGGAGCGTGTCTGTGGGAATTTTTGCCCATTCATCAAGAACAGCATTTGTGAAATCAGACACTGATGTTGGATGAGAGGGCCTGGCTCACAGTCTCCGCTCTAGTTCATCCTAAAGGTCTTTGATGGGGTTAAGGTCAGGGCTCTGTGTGGGCCAGTCAAGTTCTTCCACACCAAACTCACTCAGCCAGGCCTGTATAGACCCTGCTTTGTGCACTGGGGCTCAGTCATGCTGGAACAGAAAAGGGTCTTTCCCAAACTGTTCTCACAAAGTTGGAAGCATAGAATTGTTCAAAATGTCTTGGTGCTGAAGCATTAAGATTTCCCTTCACTGGAACTAAGGGTTCTAGACCAACTCCTGAAAAACAACCCCATATCATTATCCTTCCTCCACCAAACTTTACAGTTGCCACAATGCAGTCAGGCAGGTAACGTTCTCCTGGCATTCGCCAAACCCAGACATCCTATGACGGTGCCATGTTTAAAGTCACCCATTCTACTGTCAGTGTTTGTTTAGCAGGACTGCAAGGCTATGTGCTTAATTTTATCCACCTGTTAGCAATGGGTGTGGCTCAAACACCTGAACTCAATAATTAGGAAGTGTGTCCCAATACTTTTCTATATATTTAGGGGTCAGAATGCGGTATGTGTTAAGAATACTCACCACACTCAGCTTGTTTTTATAAAGGATGGTGTTTATCACTTTTCTGCAAATGAATTCTCCATGTAATCCTTAGTAAACACTTTATAACTAGCCTACATTTGAACATACATACGCTGGAGAATGAAAACATGCAGGGATGTTGATCTCTGTACTGCAACTGCATATGTTAATATGTGCATTGTGAAATAACGCATGGGAAAAACCTCGGACTGAACGTACTCTATTCCCCACGTAGCGAAACAGTAGAGCCGGTCCAAAAACGAAAGCTCAGGGCAGATTGAGACACCGTCCGTCCTTCATCACAGAGCTGCATACTGAGCATGTCCTGCAGTCCGTTGCCTAATCAGATGCATATTCGAGACCGCACTAAATCCGGCAGCTGAAGTCTCGCAGCACATGAAACAGATTACGCATCCCATACATCTCTTCTCACTCTGAAAACACCACATAGCCCGCAGGGAGCGTTTGATACATTTGTTTCGAAAGACTGTTTCTGAAGATTAACAGATTAACTCCCCGCCACGTTCGCCACATTCTGGAACTCGCTGCGCCACATCTGGAGAAACGAAGGGTCTCTATTTATTTAAAGTAGAGCTGGATTTATTTTTTGTGCCGTCTCGTGTTTGGTCGTGCTGCGTAAACTGCATTTGGGCTGATTTGGGACATGATGAGCACGGGGTGTAAATCTCTGACCTCATAGTAATTGTGTTATGATTCTTTAGGAACGCATCGTGAAATCTGTTCTCAACATGAATTTGGTTGTTTTGGTACAATTCAGAATTATTTTTCTGTTTGAATACAAATGTGACTGAAAATATAGGCACGGAAAACGGCTTTTTTTCACAGAACTTTCTTTCAGTTTACTAGTTATTACTTCTTAGCAGCTAGCAAGGCCTCCCCCTCTCAAGCAGTATTACCAGCTTGGAAGGTTGAAGGCTAGTGGCGAGTGCATGTGTCCTTTGAGTCAAGTGAAAACAAGCAACTGCACATCTTTTCAAGCGGCTGATCACTGGGCCTGAGACAGTTGACGATATTGGGAAGTTTTGGGAAGACTGGATTCGTGGTAAAGGCTATCAAGTTCTACGAGTTAAATGTGGCTCTAAGATGGACAAAAGGAAAGCATGTGTCTCATAATCTGTGTTACGTTTTATCATGCAGCCCAGGCATGTCAAACTGGGGACTTCCAGGCCAAAGTGCTAAGGGGATTACCATTTACCCTCATCTAACACTCTGATTCCAGTTCATGAAGGCCTTGCTAATTAGCTGATGAGCAGAATCAGGTGTGTTTAATGAGGTGGCATGTTAAAGCCTGCTGTGTTTTGGCCCACCAGGACTGGAGCTTGACACATGTGATGTAGACCATGTCCTTTATCAGTCCTGATATGTTAGCTCGCAACTATTCTGAGCTAAAGCCCGGGCTTAAATACTAAACTAAGTATGTCATATGACAAATAACACAGGTGCTTCACATCAGTATTCCGGAGATGAGGAGCGCTGATAGGAGCGCGGAGTGACGTGAGGCGTCAGGTGATCGCCCAGAGGTTCTTGGGAGATTGAGTTTGTCTCGGTGTTGTCACTTACGGGAAGCTCGGAAGTCATATGATCTCCCAGAGGATTCTGGGAGATTGAGTCCGAATCCACCTTAGAGCTCGGTGGATACGTGACATAATAACAATAGTAGGCTACAATAACAGTAACATACACGCTAACTTAATACGATGAGAGCAGAATGCGAACAAAGCTAGCTGTGCAAGTTTATTTGCTCTGGTTTAAGCAGTTTTCTCTTTAGCGTTACGCAGTCAGGGATGCTGAAGCCACGGGAGCAAGTGGGCATTTGACCCACCACTTTTCAGAGTACTGGGGCGCTGACCAACAGACACAAACAGAGTCAAATTTCTTGGCAGAACTAGTCAACATTTCTGACCAGCAACTAAACAGCCCCATGCATAATTTGGTCCACTTTAGCTGTTGCGGTGTGAAACCAACCAAACCAAATGAAAAAGATACAATATCACAAAAACTCTCACGAATAGGTTTGTAGAAACATGTTATTAGCATGACAAGAAGGGTAGCTTAAGTTGCTCATTCATTGGCCTTGGTGCATTTTGTCGCTGAGCCAGTTCATTTGTTGCTGTTTTTGCGTTGTTATTTATTTATTTATTCATTTTTGAAACAATACGTTTTGCCCCACCACTTTTTAGGTGTGACACCATCCATGACCGCAATACTTGCCATGCTAAACGGGTTTTTGGAGAAAGGCTCCTCCTTTGTAGGTTAAAAGCAGCCTCCCGGGCACACAATCTCACAAAACTATTGATCGTGCAATGTCATTGGACAGCTGAACCTGCTTGGAGGAGAGCGCTAACTGCCCAGTTTTGTTGCATGAGCTAACAGATGCTTGTTATCGGCTAACGGGGGAGAGGAAACACCCAGAGAGCAGCACACTGAACGGGAAAGAGGGAGGAAACACTCAAAGATCATCATAATGAATGACAGAGGGGGAGCAGCTAAACAGAAGGGCCAGTTACAGTCTTTTGGATTCTTAGCTGTAGGATTTGGCCTAGTGATCTCACAACAATAGCAACAGTACAGCGAAACCTTAGACGGACTCTCAGGAGCCCCTGACCAAAAATGAGCGACTACTGTGTTGAATATTGTTATAGTCGATTATAATTAATTCTAGCAATCCAAAGTGAATGCAAGTGAATTGCCACCATCAGATGAATGTATTTTTATGCTGCTACTTTGGATTCATTGGTTGCTTGTTCTGCCCTGCAGAGCGGCTGCTGACGGGATCGTGCGACTCCAAGGCGGGACAGCAGAACTCAACGCTGCGACGGGACCTGAAACAGTTTTTCGGCTGGGTCCGCAAGCGAGCCTACGGCTGCAGCGGCATGAGCATCAAGCTGTACGACCAGTGGCGGGTCTGGCTGCAGAAATCCCACAAAACTCGAAACCAGGTGAGGACATGACCTTTCTGGTCAGACTTAATCAAGCAAGACATGTTTCTGAAGTTTGCTTGGACAAAGAATTAACAGTAAGGCCTAACGGTGTTGTCCACTGCGCAAGACACTGGAAACATCGGCACCCAAAAACTGGAACTGTGTTTTTCCCCACTGACCATCGGACCACTAACTAAGGGTCCAGTTTTATGTTTTTAGCAAATAAATTAGTTTTGTTCTTAAAAGTAAATATATATGAACTTATAAGACAGAACCAAAACTGCATGCTAATTCATACTGTTTTGATAACACTGATGATACTTTTTGATAATATTTCCTTCATAGTCGACCACCTAACAGCGCTCGAACGGTACTTTGGTTTAGCCAGGTGAAAATAAAGTCACCAAGTGCTACTGCTTGACCAATAAGTGGCCCAGAATGTAAGCTAGAATAGTATGTGGATGTGTTGAAAGCTATTTTTAGCATTATTACTTTATAAATAGTTCACATAAGTTAGTTAGGAAGCTAATAGATGCTAACAAACATTGTTAGCATTTATGCTAACCTCCACAGTGTTTTTGCTCATATTTTGACACTTGTCAGAGAAAACTAGAAGCTTTTTTTGGTTCGAACCTAAAAAGCAGACATTTGTGTGAGTGTGTGAGTGCAGAATAGTGCGGTATAACTCATAGAATTCATATTATTGAATAAGTGAGGCTAACTAGCTAGCAAGTTAGCTAATTAGCCACATTAGGCACTTCGGAGTGGTGTAAAATGACCCTAAAGACAATTGCATTGCTTATCGGAGTTGTTATGATGGTTCCAGCCGTCTCAAGCAGGTGGAAAATGAGCTAGAAAAGCAGAACTAGACAGGTTCTGTTTGTTCCCATTTGGATCAGTTCTTGTTTTTGACAGTGCAGATGAAGAACAGCCAAAATGGCTTCAAGATGGCTGCTGCTACTGCTTTAGCTATACAAGGGTCACAAAGCACATAAGCAAGACTATTTGACATTCGATATGGTTCATGAGGCTGGGCAGTATGACAAAATATATCATCATCATGACAAATTACATCACAGTACAGTACAATATGCTTTTCTGAACATATAGTGTATCATCAGGGCTCATAGAACGCTGACTGACTGCATGTTTATTTATAAAGAGAACAAAATTAGTCCCGTTTCACTGGATTTAGTGCCAAACATTGAATAAAAATCATTGTATTCACAGTTTTTGATAGTATTTTTTTAAATGTAGCGCTGATGATTCTTTTTTTCTCAGTTTCAACTGATCAGAAACGTGGAAAAATATTGTGACATACTGTGTATCGTAAAAATCGAAACAATTTCTTGAAGTATCACAATATTTTATTTTTTGCCACATCTCCCACCTCTAGGTTTGCGGCAATTGTGAATTAAACATGCAGTTTGCATGATGCAAATTGACGAAGTATACATTCCCATTTCTCGTGAGCTGTATTAGCCTCCAGTGCAAATCTGCAGCAGAAAACCTAAGACACCAAACATGTCTTGCTACTGATTTACTGTTGATGAGAGCAGTTCTGAACCTGCTACTGTCTCTCTTAGCTGGTGCTTTCCAAACTTTTATTTTAAAATATTCCTTTGATTATTTCACCCTAAACACACAATTTATAGGCATTCTTTAAATGCTAATCTAAGACAGTCAGTATTTCAAGAAAAAAAAAAAAGTAAGAAATTCCGGTTTTCCACCAAGTTTATTTATGTGTGTATATTTTAGCTTTCGGGGGTACAAAGGCCCAATCCCATTTCATCCTTCGCCCCTACCACTTAGCCCTTACTCCTCTGTTTTGCGAATTCGTGTCTAGGGTTAGGGTGTCCCGATTTTTGTTGAGACAGAGGGGTAGGGTGAAGTGTTTGGGCCACATGGCCCTCAGAATGGAGGTTTTTCGGAGACACACTCCAAACTGAGTGGTGAGAAAACAAGAAAAACCAGCAAGATGGCAGCGCAAGTGACCAAATAAAGCCACAAATGTGAGAATTTTCTGTTAAAAATTATGATAACTGATATGATATGTTACGACATGATATGATTGTATTATCTTAGTTTAATGTATTACGTTTCGATGTATTATGGTCCTTTTCTTCATGACAGGCATAATAATTGCTAGTAGTATGTATGGATGTCTCGATAACTAGCTAGCTTCCCGTTACTTAAATGGTGCAGCAGTTGCATTGTGGTGCCTCAGGAGTCAGAATTGCCGCACCATTTAAGTAACGGGAAGCTAGCTAGTTACCGAGACATCCATACATACTACTAGGAATTACTATACCATTTAAGGTGGAACGGGAAAATTCGAACAAGAAGCTGGTGAATATCTGACTTCAGCTTTATATCACTGAAAAATTAGGGGTGGACGATAATAGATAACTGTCGCATCCCCCCTCTCTGAAGGCATATGATTCCCTAGATGTAACTAAAGCCCAGCAGTGAGGTTGCTGAACTTTTGAACCTCTGCTATCACTGCAGACTGGCAGGGTCGCCCACAGAGCAGCGCATTTAGCCTTTTAATGAAGCAATGTTCTTTTTTTATTTGAGGGTCCCATTTCGCAGGGGAAGATTCCAACCACTAACCCTTGTAACTCAGTTCCAAGGGGCAAGAAGACACTCGGGGTAAAAAAAAGAAATGGGATTGGGGGAAGTGCCTGTTAGGGTTAAATGTGGGCGGTACGTTTTTGGTTTATCCAAAAACCGAAATGTCACAATGATCCTAACTGCCAAAAACTTTCACGTTTCCTCTTGCAAGAAACTGTTTCATATTCGAAAAGTGCAGACAGTAAAGGCCTGTGTGCCGTTTTTAGATAACATCTGAGGGAAAACCCCATCTGCATTCCTCATATGACTTTTGCCTCTGTCAGATTCTGTGGTAATTCTTTGTTTAGGCAATGGCAGAGATTGTCTTGCAATGGCAACAATCACAGGCTCAAGTGAACAGACCATTAGCCGCTCTCTGTTTCCCTCCTGTGCTGCGGTCTGGTCTCGTCTGCGTAGTGACACATGCTGAATGTTTGTCTGCGGGACAGGGGGGCTCTGAAGCGGGATTACCGCCTCTCATCTGCTAATCTTCCAGCGCAGCATGAAGCTATCCAGAGAGAAAGAGACCTTTTAGCAATTATACCACCCAAACGCAAAGCTTTACAGGGGCGTTTTGACCAAACGGCGGCCTGTTCTTTTGATGTTACCCCTAATCAGTCATACATTAGCACATGCTGTTGACAGGTTCGCCAGGCAGAGTGCATAATTGGCTCGTCTGCGTTCATAATTGGCTATAATTTGGTCTGCTTTCAGGTTCTTCAAGGAGATAAATCATAGCACGTCGCTCCTGGCTGGATGGGATGCTTGACGAGGGCAACGCCGCGGAAGGGCTTCGCTTTTTTTCTCAAGCCAGCTGCTACAGCAGGACTTTAGGAGGAACGTTGAAACGGACCAAAACGGCCAGAAGTCCGCCTGCTGGACGCTGCTTTAAACTGTGCCTTTCTTATTTTTTCCTCAAATGCCTTTCAGTACAGGAAAACAACCTTATTTTCATTTTTGACTGACAGTAGCCATGGCGACCATATGGAGGATGAAAGGAGATATCTTGGCGAGAATGTGCTCAGTGGATCGCAGCGGGTGAGCGATTCATCAGAAGCTGAAATTTGCACATTTGCTCCGAGGATGACCTGCGTCCTGCGTTCGTTTCTGTGACGCTTCCAAACCGGTTTTTCCGTTTAGTGCACCTGCAGCACCAGCGAGGCGCAGGCAAGCAGAATCTGCGCCGGAAGTTTTATCTTACTGCAGAAATAGTATTGAACGTCCAGTCTTTCCAAAGATCCAGAGAGACCATTCAAGAGTTTCTAGTTCTGTGACTGCACATAGTTTTGGTTAGGTATACCTCACCGTGGAGAAGGAGGAGGAGAAGATAGATAACAAAAAATGCTTCAAGGGAAACTTGAAACTTGAGTTCAGTGAAGGTGAAACATTTAAAGAAGGTTCAGAAAAAATCAGAATTTGGACATTTTTCCCAAATGTAGTTGATCAGATCAGAACACATTTGATCTGAAGTGTGCTTGTTTAGCTATGAGGCTAATATAACTAATTGGGCTGAGCCTCTAGCTGCAAGATGCAAACAATATACTTGTCATTGACGCCTAGAACACTTGTTTTGTTTTTTTTACTAAAGTAATGACGACTAGTTGACTATTTTTTGAATGACTAGTCAAAAATTAATAGTCATGCAAACCCTATACACTTAAAAAAGATGGTTCTTCAAGGGTTCTTTAGAAAAGGCAGTGGTTCTATTTGAAATCATGAGTTCTATATAGAATAATTTTATGCTTAAATGGTACTTAAATGGAACTTTTTTTGAAAATAGTTCTATACAGGGTTCGTCTATTGTTACAAGCTTGACGTAACAGTAGCAGAACCCTTTTTGGTGTTATATAGAACCATTTTCAAAAATATACAGCACCATCTCCATCAATCTGAAGAACCATTTCACCATGCAAACAACAATTTAATCATGTGAATGGTTCTATATAGAACTCATAGGGACTCATTTACCAATATCTTAAGTTTTTCGGAAATTTGTTCTTGAGAAAGGTCCTACGAGGTCCTTTACATCAGATTCATGACGTGTTCTTAAACCACAGAACTGTTCACACCTTTGTGTTCTTGTGTTTGTAGATTCTGTTCTTACCGAAGAACAAATAGTTTAAGAGACCCTTATTAGTCCCACAACGGGGAAATTTCACCTGCACAATCTAACCCATCCATGCAGTGAAACACCACTTACACACTAGTGAAGACACACACTAGGGGGCAGTGAGCACCGGAGCGGAGGGCAGCCCTATCCCCGGGGAGTAGTTGGGGGTTAGGTGCCTTGCTCAAGGGCACGTACTGTCATTGGCGAATGTCAGAATCTTCGTTAAAACTTCGTTAAAATAGAACCTTTGTGTATTCTAAAGAATCCTTGAAGGACCATCTTTTTTCAGAGTGCGTCAGCAGCTTTTTCGCTAACTGCTCTAACTGCTCTAACTGCTCTAGCTGCTCTAGCTGTCTAGAAACAAGGAAAAACTATTTCTCTGACAAACTGACATGTTGGCTCATCATCCACTGAAGAGAAAAGTCCTAGTGTTGAAGAAAGCGAGTTCTTATCAGCGTGCAACATAGTAGTACCGGTAAACTGATTAGCTCATCCGAAGAGGCAGCCTCTGTTACTCATCCGACGTGAAAACCAGTTTTCCTTGGCTGCTTTTGGAATAATACTACGTTTTCCACAGATGCTTAGTCAGAATGCACGTCCGTGGTAGCTAATATGTTTTGAAATCTTGTTCACATCAGTTAGCATGCCTGGATCATCAGTCACTTCAACCTGCGTAGAATTGACGTAGATTGCAGCAAGTAATGATTGAGGCATGCAGCTTGCATGACGCTAACTGGCGTCAGCTTCCATTACTCATAGCTCCAGCGCAGAATGTCAGATCGACTACATTTGGGGGGAAATTAGATTCGATTTTTCACGAAAAAGTACTGCTTGAAAGGCACCTAATGCGGTTTATCTCCACTGAATTCATTTGAAAGCTGAGGTAGCATTTTATTCACTTTTTACAGCCAGCAAATCTTCTCCTCCAACACCTGACCACTTGTTTTAGCACAAAAGGAACCATATGGTATCGACGTTAAGGACCAAAAAAGTCATTTAAAGTGCGCTTTTGCTTCTCATTCAGCCACGTTACACCAAAGAGGGTCCACACAAGGAGTCCGTTTCACTGGCTCTGTCTCAGCGGGACTCAAGATAAACATTGCAACATTTCGGAGTTTACATTTGCAAAACGTGCGGAAGAGCGGCCTGACCAGACTCCGCCACGACTCTGTTTATGCAACGGCGGATCGCCGTGCGTGGGCCACTGTTCCGCTCGATGTCTTGCCAACTTTTTTCGCCGTCACGGTCGGAATTCCTAAACTGTAACTGTAACTTGCTGCGTGGAACTGTTTTGTGGACAGTTGTATGTATGTACAATGTTGTACTACTTTTATTTTTGTACTGAATTGTATCAGCATATTTAAAGACAAAATGTAAAGTTATGGTTCCGACCCTTTAAGTTATATGTAGGTAGTTTATAATATTATTGACTGAATTATTAAACTGTAATATTGAATATGAAGTCGTTTACTGAGCCTTTAACAGTGTTCCTGTGTTATGAGGGGCCTTTGATCTCATGACTCTGGATGTGGTCTTGTGGTATAACTTGAGGCTCAACAGGCCGAACCACCCAGAAATAATGATTCGAAGAAAATGCGTCGGCCTGCGGAAAACAGCAGCCGTCGAGAGGAAAACACATTTCCTCCTGTACGTGGAGAAGATTAATGTCTGTGAGAGCGAATGGTCGTTTCATGAAATTAGCGCTAGCTCCCACTGGCTTCCTCCACGGTCAGTATTTCACGGCCCTTCCAAGTGACACTCTAGAAAAACGTTCTTTCCCTCAGACGGAAAGCCTGAATACATTTCCAGCAAGAGTTCTTCTCTAAATGTACACTTAGCAATATATACTGCAGTATTGGCGCATTTTGATAGCAATAAAATCTGAAGTCTGATCTCAGAATTGTTCAGGCTTCAGGTGATTAGATTTTATAACACATACAGTAAATGTCCAAAAGTTTGTGGACACCTGCTAATCCAACTGAACTGAATCCATTCTGAAATCAAGGGTGTTACTGTACTGTGTTGCCGTAAGGCAACAATTACTTTTTTACTTTATTTTGCCTGATTACAATATAAAAGTATGTTTTTTTTTTCCTTTTCCTTTGGGAGCCTGAAGGCTTTGCCTCAGTCATATGCAAAAGTTTGGGCACCCCTGGTCTAATGACTTGTTTTGTTGATGTCTTATTGAAAATAAGTACACCTCCTCTACAGAGAACACACTTCTGCACGATTTAATGCATCATTACTGTTTATTTGCTGAATTTAACATATTTAACATGTAAAAATACAAAAAAATAAAATATAAATTGCGGCCTGTGCAAAAGTTATGGCACATTTTTATATTTAATATGTTTTATTTTTAGAATTGTACAGTGAATAGAAATGATGCACTAAAATGTGCAGGAAATGCCATATTTAAGTTTGTTCCTTGTAGAGAACTTATTTTCACTTATAAAATGAACAAAAAATGTAAACGTGTTCAAATTCTTGCTGAACTTAAGCCTTCCTGTTGCAGTCTGTACTCCAAAGGGTGTAAACAGTGTATCAAAAAATTAAATACTAATTCACAACGTCCAAAAAAATATACAAACACAGTTTGAGGGAGGTTACAAATTCTTTTTCATAAAGAAAACCAGTTTAGATTTAGGGCTTTTATATGAAAACAATAAAACATAGTTGTTGCCTTAAGGCAACAGCATGCGACAATTGGACTGTAGAGTGCAATGTATATAATGGGAGTAGATGAATACAGTTGCATTGGACACGCTGGGCATTTTCACATAATTTTTTGCTGGACTGCTTAGTGGGCTCGGCACATGGCCTCTTGGTGGGTCAGTGACTGATGTCCATTGTTGAATCCACAAGTGTTGCCTGAGATAAGCAGTAGGTGGTGCTATACCCCATTAAATGTGGCCCTCATTCTCCTAATGCTACCAATATAAGGCTAACAAATAATGGAAGCCGAAATGCATTCGCTGAAGCACGTTATGGGTCATATGATAACAATGACCAAACATCGGGTGAAATAACACCTGTAAGTACTTCTATTAGAGGTCAAGCTATTTGACTTTAGTTGATTTTTTTCCTTTAACTTGCTGTTTAAGCACCTTTATTGAGCTATTTCACTGTTCCAGGTGAGGATACAATCACCGAGCGCTATTACACGAATATTACTTGTCTTCTAGAAAGGATTTACACTAGATGTTGGAACATCGCTGCGAGGATTTGATTGAAATCACCCACAAAAGTCAGGTCAGGTACTGATGACTCCAGTTAATCTCATTAGACTTGTATTATATGCATTCAGTTAACATTATTTAAACAATATCATTCAAATAGATCCTCAGTTTTCATTCACTACTGCCTTTAAAAGCTCTGTTACAGTGTGTTCTGTTAGGCGAGAGTGTTTTATACTGTAGGTCACTGTTTCAACCTCACGCAAAGTGACTCACTGACGTTCCTGGGTGTGGATTTCAGTGTGTTTCGTGTTTTTTTCAGTGCCAGGGCAACGGTAGCCATTCTGAAACACTCAGAAGTGGGTCAGTTTGCTTGTGGGCCCCTCTGAGTGAGCCTTTAGGTTTAGAGCAGGTTAATATTTAATGCTCCCTGCACCCGTTGGACTCGTTCTTCTTTTCTATGGTCACTCAGCTCATCCTTTAGTGCCACTTTTCCATGCCAGTTGACTGATCAAACACCATCTCTCTGAGATCAGACTCATCAAATCAGTACATGCCATAGCGTATTTGAAGTAACAATGAAATCAAATTCAGTGCCATGATTAATGTTACATCAGAGAGGGACACTCGATCTGGGAGATTCTCCAGGCTGTAATCTGAAGCCGCGGTGAGGAGGCTCGCAGAGCAGTGTGTCCACACTGGCTCCTGAATTGTAGACGTAAAATCATGTCTAATTACTTTTAGTGACTGAGAAGACGGTGTAAGTTATAGATTTAGGATAAGTACTAGATTTATGCCCTAAAACGTTAATATATTCATCAGTGTAGAGATTTCTTCTAAAATCAAATACTACTGAATGGAAGTCAATAGTGTGTGAGTCAGTATTATTGGCTGTAGAATGGAGGTCAATAGTGTTAAAGTAAGTAATATGGAAATCTGGCATTATTTTCTGTAGAATGGGGGTTAAACCTATCGAAGTGAGTAACATGGAAATCATTAGCATTATTGTCAGTAGAATGGAGGTTAACAGTATTAAAGTAAGTAATGAAGTCAATAATATGGAGGTCAATAGTATCATTGTCAGTAGAATGGAGATCAGTAGTATCAAAGGGAGTAATAAGGAAATCGAAAGCATTTTTGTTAGTGGAATGGAGGTCAGTAGTGTTTAAGTGGTTACTATGGAAGTCAGTAGCATTATTGTCAGTAGAATGGAGATCAATAGTATCAAAATCAGTAATAAGGAAATAAAAAGCATTATTGTTAGTGGAATGGAGGTCAGTAGTGTTTAAGTGGTTACTATGGAAGTCAGTAGCATTATTGTCAGAATGGAGGTCAGTGGTATTAAAGACAGTAGTACTGAAGTGAACAGTATTTTTGTCATTAAAAAGGTAGTCGATACAATGGAAGTTCATGGATGTTGGTCTGGTTTATTGAACAGGTTTGTTAATGTACCTT